TAAAGTTGGAGTCATGTAAAATTTATTTTACAGTGGAGCCAGGCGGGAGCCGTTCGGTTTTGTTCAGACGATCGTTGCTGTGGCTCCTTTCCTGCACCTCGTGTGTCAGCAGCCTCTTCGAAAACCGGGCCTCGGGCGCCACCTGGTGGTGGTCTCTGACACTAACAGGGCAGAAACGAGCCGGGGAATAGAAGCTGTCCACACCCCTCTCCCTTGAATTGTCCCTTCATCTTTCCCTAGAAATAGACTTGCTGTAAAAGTGACAGAACGACAATCGAGGAAGACTTTTTTATTTAAAAATTACATTTTTCGGGGCTGGCCCCTTGGCCAAGTGGTTGGGATTGCACGCTCTGCTTTGGCAGTCCGGGGTTTCACTGGTTCGGATCCTGGGCACGGGCTTGGCACCGCTCATCAGTCTACGCTGAGGTGGCGTCCCATATAGCACAACCAGAGGCACTCACTAGAATACACAACTGTGTACTGGGGGGTTTTAGGGGGAAAGAGAAGGAGGAAAAAAAAAAAGGATTGGCAACAGTTGTTAGCTCAGGTGCCAAAAAAAAAAAAAAAAATTACATTTTCCCAGTTATCAAAACAGTGCATGCTCATTGTAGAAAATTCAGAAAATATAGCAAAGAATAAAGAAAATAAGTCACTCTAATTCCATCACCCAGAATAATCACTATTAATACAATGGCATCTTTTTTTCCAGTGTTTTTCTCTGCATATAATCTTCACATGGCTGAGGATTAGTGTGTATATATATTTATGTACAAATACATATGCATATCTATGGACTCAGTTATGTGTAAACATATGCACAAAGTCTTAGTGTGGGGGTTAGTGGGGGTGTTGAGAGATGGGTGCTAGTGTCAGACCACCATGAGTTTGAATCCTGTCTTTGCTTTTACCGGCTGTGTTACTTGGGCAAGTGACTTGACTTCTCTGAGTAACAATTTCCTTCACCATGTGTAAAATGTGGTTATGTTGTGAAGATTAAATGACACAAAATATGCAAAATGCTCAGTACAGTGCCCGGGAGAGCTAGGTTTCTCACTGATAACAGGTTAACACACAAAGCTTAGTCTGCCTATCTGATTCGTGGCAGAAATCTCCAGAAATGGGATGGATTTCTGGGCCTAAGTATATGAAGAGCCTCAAGGTTGATACAGTTTGCCAAAACCAAGAGGAAAATTTCAACCAAGATCTCACGCCTCCAGCCCCACAGTTGTTCCATTTCTCTCTATATTCTTCCAGGCCCTATTTATGCAGAACAGTTTTTAAGCCTTGTAATTACAATGCTTGCACCAGTTTGCCTAATGTTACATCATCTGCATTTTCCTAAGCGGCTGAAGCTGTCATTGACAGCATTTGCCATAGTTTGCTTAACTATTTCCTTATGCTGAGTATCTGAGTAGTTTAGTTTTTCACTCGTTCATTCAAGAACTAGTTATTGAATGCCTGCTCTCTGCCAGGCACTGACCTAGGCATGGGGTCAACAAGAACTGTCCACTCATCATTTCCGGCACTAGGACTCTGGCCAGCGGGACGGACCATGACAAATAAAGAAGTAAAGCTCTCGCTCTCAGCTGTGGTGAGTGCTGTGAAGGACAGGGAGAGAACTACTGGAGAGACCTACATTTTTTATACATTTGTGTATTTTTTTGGCAGTAGTCCTGGTCCCTAATTCTAACCTGCTCTTTGCTCCTTGGCGGCCCTAAGTGAAACTTCTCTTTGAGGAGTCCCATGTGAGGTTGGATTTCCACTAACACATTTTAGAGTTTCTGGAGAAATCAGAGCTCACCGTGGTGGTCACAGACCTGACAACGAGCTCAGATGCGCTTTGTTTCCTGTTCTCCTTCCTCTAAGGCTTGTGTTTCAATCTGTCCAGTCTGCTCCCTGCCCCTCAAAGGGGCTTATGATTATCTCCTTCTTAAATCTACTCTTGCTGCGCCTTTTCCTCACCTCCTTTTCAATACAGGACCCCCACCAACCCTGGGAGCCTTTGAACCACTCGGCAAAGGTGCCCCCTGCTGGTGGACAAAGCCTTGGTGGGTGATGCTTGGTGGGCAGAGCACAATTGGATTTCAGCCCCTTTGAGCCTCTGGAGTCACCTGCATGACTGTGCATGGCAGCCCTGCCCACAGCCTCCGGAATGACCACTCACCTATTTTCTATCTACTGGATTCTTACGCCGTTTCAAAGACTCAGCTTATATTCTCTCTCTTATATGAAATCCTATCTAGCTTTCTAATTCACAGTCAATTCTGCATTCTTTGAACTCCTAAATAATTTTTTTGACTCTTTGCTTCACTTGGCACTTAATTGTACACTGCCTTGTGATTCCTCCTGTTTTCCTCTGTTGTGTCATTATTTCACCTGAAGAGGTCTGATTTAGATCAAGAGATTAGATATATCACTGTAGATGTATCATTTACTCTGAATGATGAAGGAGAAGGAGGCAGAGAAAGAATGTTCTAGGCAAAGGGAAGGCTACGTGCGAAGGCCCCAAAAGAGAATATTTTTGAGAATGCAAGGCCAAAAGGATTGTCTCTACCTGGAATGGCCTTCTCAGATCTGACAAATGAAATGGAAAACAACTTATTAAGGTATGCATTCATACTACCTTCTGAGGGCCTCTTGTTCTAGCCCCTGGGAATGGAGATGTAGAGATGAGTCAGACCAGACGTATTTCTTTCCAGACTAACGGAGGAGACTAAGATGATTTCCATACAGTGTGAGAGACACACCATGGTGGAGAGTCATCATGCATGTTAGTAGAAGGGTAGAGAGAGTAACTAATTCTGCCTGTGGGCACTGAGGAAAGCTTATTCAAAACGGAGACATCTGAGCGGAGTCTGATGTAGAAGTCAGGCAGAGACACAAAAGAGGAGAAAGTCCAGACAGTGGGCACTGTGTGTTCAAAGGCATGGAGCCAGGGAGAGGAGTGTGGTTTCAGAGAATGGTGATCGGGAAGGGTCTCAGGACTATTAACGTGCTTGGACGTGATCTGAAGATGGCATGAACCTAGGGGAGGTTTCTAAGCAGGAGAGTGTCAGGTCTGGCTGCAGTGTGGAGAATGGATAGGGGTGTGGTGGAGACTGGAGGCAGGGAGACCCACGAAGAGGCTGGTGCAATGGGCTAAAAGCTTGAATCGGGACAATGAAAATAAGGGTAGACAAGAGGAGAAAGATGGGAGAGACATTTCGACGTAAAACCTGTAAGACTTGGCGATGGGCTGGTTTTAGGAGGCTGGGGAGAGGGATATGTTAAGACTTTGCAACTCTCAAGCATGGATGACTGACTGAAGGCGGTGCCCCTTACTGAGACCAGGGATGCCAGGAGGAGAGACAGGATTTAGGGGAAAAGGTTGGCGGAGAGAGACTGGGGGCAGTGAGGCCTTCTTGTTGGTACCATGGACAGCTCCAAGACTCTCCACAGGCCTTGAATAGCGATCCATGGTTCTTGACCCTGGCTGCCTTAGAATCAGCAGAGGAGCTATCGTACCATGCAGACTCCCAGGCCGACCCAGATAATCTGCATCAAAGTCTCTGGGGTTGGGGTTCAGGAGCCTGCATTCTAAATAAGCACCCCAGGTAACTCAGGTGCAGGCAGTCAGATGACTACACTTAAACACTGAAATAAAGCCATGCTGGGCACCAGAGGAAGAGATGAGAGAGTCCTCTGCTGCCAAAAAGGAGATCTGGACCTCTTGAGTTTCTGACTTGTACACTTCGAGGCAGTTTAATTCCACAGTGAAACTCTGGGCCAAAACAAAGAAACAAGAGACCTGGGAAGATGAGAAAGGAAGAGGGGTCACCTTATTTGATAACTTCTGTGTTCCTTTCACCCTATAGTGCAGAGTGTGGCAAAGTTCACTGGTGTGCAGTTACACTCACTATCTTCAGTCAGGGGTGCTGTCACACCTTGCCAACTCCATCCCCTGAAAAACCAAATGTGGCTCCTTAAGGTGAGAGGGAAGAGGCCTCTCTTTGGATTGCCTTTAAAAATACATGGTAACCCAAAAGATTGAAGGCAGGGACTTGAATAGGTATTTGCGCATCCAAGTTCATAGCAGCATCATTCACAACAGCCAACAGGTGGAAACAACCAAAATGCCCATCGATGGATGAATGGATAAAGACAACGTGGAAGATACACAAATGGAACATTATTCAGGAATGAAATTCTGACGCATGCTACAACATACGTGAACTGTGAAGGCATTATGCCGAGTGAAATAAGCTAGACACAAAAGGACAACTACGGTATGATTCCACTTATATGAGGTACCTAGAGTAGTCAAATTCATAGAGACAGAAAGTAGAATGGGCGTTGCCAGGAGTTGGGGGGAGGGAGAATGGTGAATTATGGCACAGAGTTCCAATTTGAGAAGACGAAACAGTTCTGGAAATGGATGTTGGTGATGGTTCTTGCACAACGTGAATGTACTTAATGCTGTTGAATTGGATGCCTAAAAATGGTTAAAACGGTAACTTTTACCTTATGTTTATTTTACCACAATAAAAAACATATGGCACAATAAGAAAAGCAGTGGTTAATGTCCTCAACTTGACTGGGAATCTGTAGGGCTTCTCCACGGCTTCCCCATCCCATAGGGAGCTATCTGAGAACAGGGGGTGTCTCCCCTCTCAGGATGGCGGCCCTCCCAGGCCCAGCAAGGTGTTTCTACAAAGCTGCTCCCCGAGGGCCTGAACTTCTCACGTCCGTCATCAGAACGAGGAGCTCCTGATGGTGGAGTTCCCTAGAATGGGTGAGGCTGTGCCTCCTCCTTCAGATTGGAGTTATCCCGGCGAGTGTGTATGGGGCCAGGGGAAAGTGGGCCTCTTGTTGGAGACTTTCGTCTCTCCTGCCCAGTCCCCAGGCTTCGGATCCCCGCAGGCGCCCAGCACCTTTCTATCCTTCTCTCACCTCCGGCCTCTGCAAGCTCTGCGCGCTCAGGAACCCCGCGCGTTCCCAGCGGGCGTTCCCGCGGCGGCTTTCCGCCCTCTTCCAAGATGGCCGCGGCCGCCTCTGTGACAGGCCTGATCACGTGGGCACCCTCGCCTATGAGGTCGCTCGGGCTTGATCGGCGATTGTCCCTTCCCGGGTCCCGTCCCGAGGCGGCGACTGCCGCTGTCAACCGGAGCCTGAGCGATCATGGCAACGGGCTCGGGCGGGGAGCGCGTGGCCGCGGTGGCAGCAGCGGCAGTTTGGTCGCGGGCCGGGGCGGCGGAGCGGCGGCGGCGACGGCGGTGGTGGCACAGGCGCTGGCACCGGCCCTGAGCGCCATGCAGCGGGGCAGCTCCGAGAGGGAGCTGGCGGCCGGGTGGGAGGCGGAGGAGGCGGCGGCGGCCAAAGCGCAGGCGGCGGCGAAGCAGGTCCGCGCGGACGCGGGCGCGGCGGGCGAGCCGGAGCGCAAGGCAGGGGAGGAGCCGTCCAAGGACCCGGCCCCGGTGCAGCCCCGCGCGGCCGACGAGGGGGACGCCCGCAGCCTGCCCCGGCCGCCGCCCGCGCTGCCCCTGTCGGAGCCGAAGCCGGCGCCCGCGCACGGCCTCTGCCAGCACGGGAAGCCCCGGTGCAAGGGCCGGAGCTGCAAGCGGAGCTCGGGCCGCGGGCCGGACGGCCACCGCTCCCAGCGGCCCGTCACCGTGGACAGCTCCAAGGCCAGGACCTCCCTGGACGCCCTGAAGATCAGCATCCGCCAGCTCAAGTGGAAGGAGGTGAGGCCCGCCCGGCCGCGTGGGCACAGGGGGGGTGGACAGGACGACCTCAGTGGAGCCGGCGCGGCCCGGCCAGGGCTGGGGGCCGAGCTGCTGCCGTGCGCCACGCTCGAGACTGCGTGTCGGCCGCAAACTGCTCAAGAAGGCTCTCAGACCCCTCCAGGGCAAGTTAGCCCCTCCTTCCTCTGGCTCCCCTGCGGCTCTGTGGTCTCCAGTCATGGGCACTCGCCTCCCCACGTTGTAGATATTCGTTTATAAGTGTCTCTTCCACCAGCTTGTGAGTCCCCGGGACCCCGGACCCTCTCTTTCACGTCTTCATTTAAGTTATATTTGTTTAGCGTTTACTGGGCGACTCTTGGGCAGTGGAACAGTTTATACTTGGGAGGCACACAGACCTAGGGTCTCACCACACCCTGCCTCTTAGCCGTGTGACTTTGGGCATAGTGCTTCACCTCTTAAACCTATTTGCTCCTCTATAAAGTGAAGCTACTAATACCTCTCTCCTAGTCCTGTCGGTCTCAGAAGACTCGCTGCTTGTAGTGTAGCACAAGTTTGCAATAAATGGCAATCTTACCACCCTCTCCTCTCTCTCTCTTCCACCATCATTATCACCATCATTGTCATCAGTGCAGACACTGTATTTTACGTTCCAGGGCTTGGCGGGTGTCAGGAAGCGATGGGTGAACGGGCGAATGGAGGAACGGGTTATTTGTCCCTGCACCCATTTTAGACCTGGTGGGGGCTGGGATGAAGCACCAGTGACATCCAGAGGTGTCTGTTGCAGTTGGCTGAGTGATTAAAGCCATTTGACTTCATTTGCAGCATCTGAGGTTATTTCCTGTGTTTTCAGGAGTGTCAGGATTGTGATTGAGGGTAATCAAGTCTGGAGACAGATCCAGACGGCCTGCTGCCGGAACAGGGCTCTGCAGCAAGCAGCATGAGGCTGTAGGTACTTAGCCCCGGGCCTGGGCTGTGGTGGACATTCGGGAATGGTTCTGTGAAGTTGGAACATGCCGAAAGATGGCCACAGAAAGGACTGAGGAGGTCAGAGGGTTAATGTCGCAGCAGGAAGGAGTCCTGTGGTCTGGAGGGAAGTCAAGGCTCAGGCAGGGCAGACTTGCAGGTCGGTAGGCATTAGCTATGGGGGAAGAGTGACTCCAGGTGTCAGGGCCCCCATCCTTGGGGCCCAGGATTCAGGGGAGGAGTTTCATGTCTAGGAAACCTGGAGAAAGTGAGGGAGGGCTTCTGGCTCTGGACAGAGTCCCAGGTCCAGGCTAGAGGTAGGAGGACCAGAACAAGATAAAACTGGAGAATTTGTCAATGCGAATGAAGAGAGATTCCGGGGAGTGAAACCAGGCCAGAGAGTCAGGCAAGGCTGCTCGGCCCAAACAGGGTCTGTGCTTAGCTTAGCCCTGTGGGAGAGAGACATGAAGCTGGCTATGTGTCGAGAGATGGAGCCAGAAGGGCTCAGAAATCAGCAGGCATCCATGGCGGCCCAGGTTTTCACTCATCACACAAGTGTCTGCTGTGGATGCCGGGCCCTGTGAATCCAAGATGCTTAAGATGTAACCCTTGCCCTCAAGGACCTTACGGTTTAGTAGAGGATAAAACACAGGTAAAGAAAGCATGCAGTAAGGACAGGGCCTTTGCTGCTGCTTCCTGAAGTGCTCTTTTCCCAGGTATCTGCCTGGCTTACTCTGTCACGTCAGGTCTCTAATCAAATGCCACCTCCTCAGAGAGGCCTTCCCCCGTGATCCCTCCACCGACCCTTGCTCTTCTTTATTTTTTTTTGCAGCACTAAACTCTACCTGACATCATATTTGTTATTGTTTGTTTATTGACTGTTTCCCTCATTAGAATGGAAGCTCCGTGAGGGCAGGGCTTTGTTGTATTTACTGCTGTATCCTCGGGTGCTTGGCACATAGAAGCTGCTCAATAAATACTTGCTGACTGGATGAATATTTATGTGATGAGTGTTTCTCTCCCTCTCTGTAAAGGTATAGGTGCTGTGGGAGGTGGGGGAGGACCACCTCAGAAGGGCTTCCTGGAGGAGGGAGACCTGAGCTGAGTTCTGAGTGCTGGAAAGGAGGAGGAGTTATTTAGGGGCTGTCGACTTTGGATCCCTGATAGAGAGAGTAGAATGGGCAAAGCAGAGGTCCATTCGGGGCTCTGCACGTGGTTCACGATGGCTGGATTGATAGAGTGGGAGGCCGAATGGTGAGAGATGAGGCTGGAGAAATGAGCAGGGGTCAGATTGTGTGCCAAGCGGTGCGATTTGGACTTTTGGGGGGGGGACACTTTGTGAGCCGCTAGAGAATCTTAAGATTCTTCTATTTATCAGCTATGCTCCTTTGGCAAGTGAGTTAAACTCTTTAGGTCTCGGTTTGCCCTTGTCAAAGGGGGTGGGTTGAGCTAGTTCAGTGGTTCGCAGCCTCTCTTCTGCTGCAGCCACATAATGGTAACGTTAGTCTACAGGAGGACATGCCCTGGTGAACTCAGTGCGGTGGGCAGTTTCCAGGTACTATCTGTAATTGGCTCCTCCACCCCCAAGTCTGCCTTTTCCTCCCCCTCAGAAACAGATTGGCATGTAAGTGGCGATGCTCATTCTAGTATATTTTAAAACATAATTCACTCACAACAATAAGACTTTACATTAGATGTGTGATTAGATGTGTTTACCTAATGTCACTCTTCCCTGTTAGTCTGTGAGGTCCTGAGGGCGGGAGTGGTGTCTGACTTGTGTCCCCAAAGCCCAACATATGGTAGGTGTTCCATAAGTATTCACCGAATGAATGAATGAAATTTTTGCAGCAGAGCTCACATCTCACCTTGACACCCTACAATGTGGAGTTTGAAAAGTGCCAGACTAGGAAAAACTTTAAAGTTCCTTCCAGCTTTAACCTATGATTATGGTATTTTTAACACCTACTACAAAGTTGACCATGTGGCAAGTAATATATCTGTAAATCGGGTACGAAGTGCAAACACACCCTCTCCAGGCCTCAGTTTCCCCCTCTGATACAGGGGTGATGTTGGACAAGATCGTCTCTAGTACTCAGCCCTAACGTCCTAGGAGCAGGAGCGTCTGCTGGGGTTGGGGCCCCAGGATGTGAGCGAAAGTGTCCCTTGCATGTCATGATGTGCTGCTGCAGGGTTTGGGAGTCCCCAGCTGGCTGGCTTTGGCAGGGGTGGGCGGGTAGCCCAAGTAAGAAAGAAGGTCATGAGCACCAGCTGGAGTGACAGCGCTGTGTCTCCTTGTGTGTAGTGAGGGGCTGCACAACACGGTCCACTTAGCAGGGAGCGCTGAGCCAGCTTGTGAGCTCAGACATTTTCTCGTCTACAGGGCGCCATCTCCCTTCCTCCTTCACTGTTCTCTATTCCACATACATCTAACGACAACAATGGTGACGGTGAGCAACCACAACGACAATGAGCCCTTACACAGCTCTCCCGCTGCCAGGCACTCTTCTAAGTGCTTTGCATATAGACAATAATTTGATTCTCCCAACAACCCAGTAAAGTAAGTGCCTTTTTGTCTCGATTTTATGGAGGAGGAAATCGAAGTACGCAGAGGTCAACTTACCAGGGGTCGTATAGCTGGTCAGTGGCAGAAACAGGCATTCCATTTGGAGCCAGCCTTCAAGTCTCTGCTCTTCCCACTGCTCCCTGTTGGCTGTCTGTCGGCAGACCCCGGGTTAGGGGTTGCAGGTATAGATGTGAATAGGGTTCACTCCTTGCCCTCCAGCAGCTCCCAGTGTCAAGGGGCAGACATGCCTACAGACGAGTGCAGTCCAGTCTGGGAGCTGAATGGGTAAAGGGCCTTCCACACAGAGTAGGAACAAAGGCTGGGAGTATGGATTGGGTGTTATACGCAGGATGGGATGGTGGCAGCTTGGGGAGCATGTGGGAGAACGGAGAGAGATGAAGAAGGAGCCAGATCATGGAGGACATTCAAGGCCGTGCCAGGAAGCTGAGCTTCTGACTGAATATGATCGCAGGCTCTTGCCATATATAGAGCAGTCTCGCTTGCCCACTCTCTGTCAGTCAGAAGTGAACCACGCCAACTCTCTGGTGAGTCAGTTCTCAGTCCTATCCACTCTGGTCAGGTCTAATTCAGCTGCGCCCACAATGTTAAATTTGTTTCCCAAAGGAAAATTCACAAATGTTCACTCTGTAAACCTGCAGATAAGACAAAAGTTTATTCTGAAAATAGCGAATCATGTTACAGTCATTACCGAAGTTGCAACGTGAAAGAGAGGCATGGTTACTGGCTCATAGTAGATGCTCAATAAATATTTGTGGAATTGTCCACACAATTCCAATCCTGTGAGCCTCTCTCCCCATCCCCTGTGTATTCTTTTCCAGTTTTGACACCCTCATTAAAGAAAGCCTTCGAAAAAAGACACCATGGAGAATAAATGCCACTCTTGTTGTGAGCTGCCGTCCTTGGAGATGTAGGCAGTGTATGTGCGCAGTGGTGCCATGGACACCAGCTAGCGTGAACGAGGGCACTGAGAGATTTGATAGAGGGACCTTTGTTGATAGCAGTTTGCATAAGCCCCTGTCCCAAGATCCATTGCCGTGTGAGCTCTTTGTTTCAGAGTCGAAGCTGTATGTTGTTTTCTGAAATTTATCTAGCCTGTCCTTAGAACATGCATACACTTAGTATATTTTCCTGCTTGTAACTTGTATAATCTGAGTTACTGTTTATTAAATATCTATTATGTGTTAGGCATTGTATTAATGCTTAGTAATTAATTAATCCATGGTAAATGGATTATTTTAGTTAACCCTCCCAGCAGCCCTCTGAAACAGATCCTAGTATCATCTTCAGCTTACAGATGAGGAAACTGAAGTTTAGAGAGAGGCTGGCACAGGGCTAGCCCACAGCCACACAGGTGACAAGTGGCAGAACCATCCAGAGCCCGTGTTTTCAGCCTGTATACAATCCTATACTGTCTTCTTTGCTAATTCTTTGCTAAAATCCACTCTGTAAGGAG